AAATTGTTTTATGGTTTATATTTCATTTGAATATTTAACTGAGTTATTTATAATCCTGCAGATATATACTTTTTAATTGATTAATTATTAACTTCTATCCATGTACCGTTTTTGTTTTATATAAACGGTACTCTTAACTGCCTGTTTATTTATCCGATCATAATATTCATGTGTTATATATGTTTAAACAAAACATTTATACATCAATTTGACTGCCAAGTCAATTGCATATCCTACATAGCTTACATAATTGATTTTTGTTTTGCTTTACATTATTCTACTCATCTTCACACAGTTAAATATCTCATTATAATTCTTACTTCCACACAAACCGACAAAATCACTACAATCAATCCTATGCAAACCAAAGGATGAGATAACAAAGGAAAACAAATCAAACATCATCTACAAAATAAATTGTGCCAACTGCGGAAAAAACACTACATCGGACAAAGCGGGCGCTCTCTTCATCTTCGTCTGCATGAACATCAATTAGCAGTCAAACGCCATGATATCTCCTCACTTATATCAATACACGTGGATAACTGCGGACACTCATTCGATTGGAAAAATGTGGAAATCTTAGACAGAGGAAACTCCAAAAACACCAGAGAATTTTTAGAAGCCTGGCACTCAGGTCAATTAGCAATCAACAAGCATATTGAAATTAATTCAATTTACCAACCAATTAGGGAAACCATGCACAAATATAGGAACAAAAATCAAACCAATGGGAGACACAACCAAAACAAAAAAGTAAACAATGACAAATTTAGGGTCAATAAGAACCAATCAACATCAAGATGCACAGAATAAGCTTTGAAACACATATGGAGAAATTCGAACACTTCACTTCTATCTGAAGTTTGTGCTGATGATTTCGTTCAGAAGAAGAATGATGAACGCTCAACGACCAAACCATCCAGCTCAGAGAACAAAACTCCACCAAAATCTTACTTCCAATAAACGTTATACTCTTTACATGTATTCAGTTGAATCAGTATATGAAATATGTAAAACATATTTTTTATACATTTCGGATTCGACTTCTAATATCATATGAAATAAATTTAATTACATCATAGGATTGGTCAAAGAAAATATCAGAAATTACCATTGGATTGATTATCACATTCAAGTCAAGCATGTTTATATGAATTAACTAAGCAACATAGTTGGATAAATTTTATTTTAGCAATTAATTCTATTTTGTTATTCTGTCAATTTAATTAAAGCAAAACATTTTCTTATTCGAGAGAAAATTAAAGAAGAAGAAAACTAAGCCCGTAAATGATCAATAATGAGACTGGAAAAAAGAAAAAAATAATAAATTTTAATTTCAGAAGAGTTTTGTTGAGATTATTGTAATTTAGTAGTTGAATTCATGAGGTAATTGAAGTTAGATTACCATGGAAAATCTAGAAGAACTGGATGTCTAATTTGTCCTAGTGTGGGACTCCTCTTGCTAAATCAAATCGTGGCATCAGTCCACAAAGTCACTAACTTCTAGTGTGAGCCATGTTGGTAGATACAGACTACTTGGTTGGGGTCCGCGTGACTATCGTAACCAATGGTTGTAGACTGTGGGTGACATGGCTCAGAGTCGATCACAGTAGCGTCGGTGTATACACTTTCTGTCTTCCCTTAAATTATGAGATTAAAATCGATTCATATCTTTCTTTCTACGAACTACTTTTTTCTTCTTATACTATATCATTATATGCAAACGTTTCTTTATATATTACTACCATTGACTTAATTACTTCTATAAATCCGGTGTTCGTCTTTTTGTGTTAATAAGGTAATGTCAACTTGGACCGATGCATATATATGTGCCTGATCCTACGTTGTAGCTGACTGACTGACTGGGACTCCTCAGTAGTGCGCATCTACGATTGCGCCTCGTGAGATTTGAACTTAGAGCTTGTCAGTCTTGTGCGTGAGTGCACTGATAAGGAGGTGCATACTAAGACGAAATGGCCGTCCTTTGCTTCTAGATTTTTCTTGGTGGTCTAACTTCAACTGACTCATGAATTCAACTGCTGAATTTTAGTTTAATAATCTAAAAATTTTATTGATCAGCTGTCCAGTTCAGTTGTTAACAATGAAGAAATACTCCTTTCTTTATGAGTTTTTTCGGCAAAACTATAATTTATGAACGAACCGATCAAGTATACGGTAACAGGTCTTAGATTTTGGTGCGAAATCCACTCATCCATTTGGATAAATATAGTTTCGGCATTATAGCTGATGTTAGTTCGTGATGAAAACCCTAAATCTAATTTCTAACTCTAAGTATCAAATGTAAATCATAATTCGAATTCCACACACTGGTTTATAACCCATATTTGGTACCGGTTATTAGGTGGACACCCTCAAGGTCAGTCTAACGTCGCTCAAATGTTCGTCCATAAATTATAGTCTCACTGTTTGGTTTTTCTAACATTTCGGTTCAATAAAAATAACTCATACTTATTATACATAGTTTCGATGTTTATTTCATTGTTTTGATTGTATTACTGAAAAATTTTTAGATTATTTTATTAGGGAGTAAATGTTTATTTTACAATGAATGTATAAAGATGGATACAGTGTAATTAGATCATGTCTATGGAGTGATAAAGGAAATAGTGTAAGGCCATACATCAGCAGTTTATCAACTTATAAATATTTATGTTTAAAATATGTAATACATCAACTATTTATATTGTACTCATAATGTATATTCATCGGTATTACGAATTATTGACTGTATTTTGAGATTTCAGGAAGCTAACGCTCCTTTTTTCTGCTCAGATAACTCAGTGGTAACGTCTCTGACTATGAAGCTGGGTGACATTGAATCGAATCCGTCAGGAAGCATTAGTTCCTTCAAGACTGCAAGTTCATCTTGCTTACGAGTGCTATGTAGCACGGAACCTAGGTCAAACTGCTCCTTTTTTCGGAAAAAAAAACAATTTACAGCTAACTAAATTCACTACGGAATGAAGATGATCATAATAATAATAATTTGTATACAATTAGTTAATAGTTACTGAGTCTAAAGGGGCACTGACTTATTCAACGTGTGTGATGTGTGCTTGAGTTATTTTGCTTTAAATATTTGGCACTGAATTTTAATCAGTCTTTGTTGGTAAACATACATCTTGTGTGGATTTTCATGATAAAGTCATTTTATTATAAGCTTTTTTGAATAGATAAATTTTGATTAGTAGTGTATTTAGCAGCTTAGTATGCTGAGTTTAAAGACACTGTGCTCCTGTCATCATTTAAACATCAGAACTGAGATACTGGCATATCAATCTGACAAATGAAAACAAAAAAAAACGAAACATTAGCTCTAAATTCCAATGTGAGCCAAAATCCATCTATTTCAAAATAAAACGTTATAACAAAATGATTACATCATTACAAAATGATGAATATTCAATCATGAATACCAAAAAGACGAGATAATTCAAACTCTTACTACTACTACTACTAATAATAATAATAATGATAATGATAATAATAATAATAATAATAATAATAATAATAATAAACTATCAAAAGGAGTTTTGTGTAGATTGTAGTAATTTCAGGAGTTGCGATCATGCGTCAATTGAAGTTAGGCCACCATAGAAAACCTGGAAGTACTGGATGGCCGTTTCGTCCTATTGTGGGACTCTTCAGCGGTGCGCATCCACTAATGATCTGAACATTCACCATCTCATTAAGAGAACTGAACAGTTATTTCATTGTAATTTGTAAATTTTTATTCATTTTTATATAATAATATGAGTATTCTATAGTCTCTACTTTTTAATAATTATCCTACTATTCTTAATAAATGATCAACATAAACTTTAAAATAAAACACTTTCAAATATTTCATTTACTTTACTTACTCCTGTTACTCCTAATGGAGCATAGGCCACCGACCAGCATTCTCCAACACACTCTGTCCTGGGCCCTCTTTTTAGTACCATCCAATTCTTGTTCTTCGATCTTCCTCTCCTACTTTGGCCTTCAGGATTCCGTGTGAGAGTTTGCCTTATGACTCAGTTAGGTGCTTTCCTCCATGTGTGGCCTACCCACTTCCAGCACTTCTTCCCGATTTCTTCCTCCGCTAATATCTCGTTTGTTCTCTCCCACACTACGTTGTTGCTGATATTGTCTAGCCAACAGATCTGAAGTATTTTACGTAGACAGCTGTTAATAAACACTTGTATCTTCTAAATAATGACTTTCGTAGTTCTACAGGTTTCTGCCCCATACAGTAGAACTGTCTCGATATTTGTATTGAAAATTCTGACCTTGGTGTTGGTTGACAGACAGTTGTTTTGAGTTCCAGATGTTCTTCAGTTGGAAATATACTGCTCTTGCTTTACCGATCTGCGCCTTCACAGATTATTATCAATTTATTATCGGTTTCATTACAATTTTATTGGCACAGTTACCTGAGGACCAAAAATAATAAAGCAAAACAAAAATAACTATTTTGTTTACAGATTTCATAATAAGTTTAAAAGTCATTTGATTGTATTATTGTCATTGATTAATTGTTAGTTTATTATCATGATTGGAATAGGCATTTAAGACATTGTTACATGTTAGCCTTAAGTTAACCAGCTAATCAATATATGTCAAGGTTGTCAAGTTTATATATATATATATATATATATATATATATATATATATATATATATATATATATCATTATAGTATAAAAATAATTGAAATGCCCACAACCATACTTCGACGGTAAGTATAATGATATCAGTTAAGCCTTTCATTATTATAATGGTTAAGACCATGAGTCAGTTGGAGTTAGACCACCATGGAAAACCTGGAAACACCGGACGGCCGTTTCGTCCTATTGTGGGACTCCTCAGCAGTGCGCATCCACTTTCATTATTGTTCATTACTTTTAATGCTATTCTATCATAATTCTCTATATAAGCATATATATAAACATTATCACTAAGTATTTATCGTTGTCTTTTCTTTCTACTCTCTAGCCAACAACAACAGCAACAACAACCAAATCAAGGAAATAATGAATTGTTACATACAACTTCTAGTACATTATGCTCATTTATGTCAGCTACACCTAATTGGACAGTAAGTAAAATATTGAATAAATAATGTAAATGAGAAAAACAAACGTTATTTATTTTAAAGAATAGTATTTGATATAATCATTTTCAGGCTTTCCTTATCTATGCATCTATTTATCTACCTATATACATATACCATTGGTATTTTATACTGTGATTCGGAATATACGCTAAATGTATATGAATGAATGTTTAAGTGAATAACTTTAATTAAAATTGAATTGTGTCATAACTGGTCATTTTTGAAATAATAGTTAATTACAGTTTGTGTTGTGATTTACATTCAACAATATACAATCAATATCCTTTAAGTCATGATCTATAATGATTTTATAATATTTATTAGAAGTACTCATAACGTATCATAAGAAATGAAGTTACTATGTCTACGAAATATTAGTTAATCGGATGAGTTAGACATTAACACCGTTGGATGCCGGCTTAGTGGTCTAGAGGTTAAACATTCGCGCACAAGGCCGATAGGTCTTGGGTTCGAATTTCGCGGGAAGGATCGTGGATGCACACTGCTGTGGAGTTCCATACTAGGACGAAATGATCTTCCAGTACTTCCAGGTTCTTCATGGTGGTCTAGCTTTAATCGATTCATGAATTCAACCATTACATAAGGTATTGGTTTATATCAATTATTTTCAAAATGCTTTTAAAAATATACAAATCTTTATAAAGTACGGTTAGGCTGATATATTCCTGAAATCTCTTACACATCTAGATACAATATAAACAGTGATATTTATAAAAATGAAATGACTTTCATCATTATTTAAACATTGTCCTAAATAATCAGACAATAATTATTTACCCTATATCTCTTACTATTTTCATGTCAGTACTTTATTTTTAAAAGTAAAAAAATCAATCATAATATCACTATGGAGTACTATAGAGTAAAGGAAACATAATGCTACTATAGTCATCATTTCATGGAATATTCATTAGGAAATATGATGTCAAGTCATATCATGTTTAGAATAATAAAATTATCCTTTCTCATAAGCAGATATATCTTCAATGTCATCTATAAAACTACATAAATACTTTATTTCTATATAGGTTAGTATATTTTTACTAAGGTTTTGTTGAATGAATATACTTCACAGATTGAAATCATGAGTCAATTGAAGCTAGACCACCATGGAAAACCTGGAAGTACTGGACAGCCGTTTCGTCCTAGTATGAGACTCATCAGCAGTGCGCATTCACGAAGTTGAAGTTGAAGTTAGACATTAACACCATTGGATACCGTCTCAGTGGTCTAGTTGGTTAGGCGCTTGGTACGAGACTGGTAGATCCTGGCTTCGAATCTCGCGGGGTGCAGAATCGTGGATGCGCACTGCTGAGGAGTCCCATCATAGGTCGAGACGGCTGTCCAACGCTTCTAGGTTTTCCATGGTGATCTAGCTTCAATTGACTCATGATTTCAATCTGTGAAATTTCTAAAAATCTCTACAAACTCTTTCTGAGAATGAATATATTGTTTGCTTTTTTAAAACGGTAGTTTAACATTGTGTCAAATATCACAATCTCAATAAATTAGATGGTTATTTAAGTTAACCAAATGCTATTTTACATGATAATCTAACAACAATGACCTCATATTTTTCTTTCTCCTAGATATATTCTTTTCGAATTCTTAAAAAAAAAGAAGTTATCATATATAATATGAGAGTTTTGAAACTACTATCAAACCAGTTTGACATATGTTTTAATGTTGTTAAGTAAGTATTAGGTACAAATCAAATATGACCTTCGGTTTCTTGAATGATCAGCCATAAATGTGATAGTGTTTAGGAGATGAATTCATGTATGAACCTATATATTCACCGTATGTCAAAAACTATGTTTCCTAATAAACAGTACAGTTTTCATTCACTTCACATAGTTCTTTTGTGTTAGATGGTGGTTGGAGGTAGTCAACAGGAAACCCTGGACCCGGGTTTTGTGCTACTTAGCACTACCTCCAACCACCATCTAATCTCAATATATAGTGCCCGCAATGTCGAGTCATCTAGACTGGTGACCACATTGCAACATGGTCGATAGCATTCGATCTGCACTAAATAAGGACTTGACACACATGACATTGATCACCACCCAGTGATCAATCAATTGTGAGTTCTTTTATGTACAATCAGTTATTGTTTTCATCAAAATAGACATATATTGCAATATCAGAGACACAAATTGCAAAATCATATATTTTTCATCTTCTTTTTGGAATAGTAATATCATTTGGAATGTGTTGAATTACTTTCGAGTAAACAATCATTTTCAAACCATAAATCACACTTAAATATTTAAAAAGAGGCTAAGGTTATTGATTTGGATTATTATGTTTACAATAGGTTAATTAATTAAGATTTTTTGAGTATCTAACGTCAGTTAGATAACTTGGTTATAAAAGTGAATCAAATAATTCCATCATTGTTATTAAATCAAGTCACAGTGTATGTGTAAATTCATTTGGTGTTGTTTTACTTGAATTTTCTCATTGATGTTTTACGACTGAAATTGATCAGTCTGTTATTGGCATATGTGCATACTGTGGGTATTGCCTCGATATAGCCTTAAGTCAGAAGCATTATAAGCAAAGATGGATGGCTGTGGCTAGCAGTGGAATCCATGACGTACCTTTCGTCCTGTTTGGGACTCGTCAGCTGGATGTACCTGCTTCCCAGAGTTGATGTACACTGTACAACTCGAACCCACTACCATTCTCTCCAAACGCCATTGCGTTATCCACTATCCATCTTTGCTTATAAAGCTTGTGACTTAAGGCAATATCAAGGCAGTACGCACAGGATGCACATATGCCAATAAGAGATTGATCATTTGCAGTTCTAAATAACAATGTGAAGATATAAGTAAAAGAATACCAAGTAAATTTAAACTTCGCCTCATTGCACAAGCAAGTGGCTATCAAGACGCAGTAGCTAAGTGGATAACGGTACTGGGTCCGGGTCCCGCAGTGAATATCAACTCTGAGGTGCAGGTATGTTCAAATGACGAGTCCTAAACATGACGAAACTATCCACTACACATGTGTGCTTGAAAATAGTGTATGTATGTATGAAATTGTTCAATATGATTCTAATAAATTCTAGAACAAAATAATATTCAATTTAATGGTATTTAAACAGTCAACGTGACTTCTGTCATTCACAATTGTTATTTTTAACAAATCAAGTTATACTATTGGGATTAAGTTTTTCCTATTGGAATAGAATGTGGATGTTCCTATGCGAAATCTGAACCAATTAAGTTTAACCATATGGAGTGGGAGGCAGTTAACTTTCAGAAGCCGAAATGCGGTACCATGAAGTGACTGAATTTTGACGTTGAAGTCATTAGATTCCCGATCAGCAGTCTTAATATCAAGCCTTCTTCAAGAGAGCTGAAGATACTGTATCCAATAACTAATGTTGTGGATGCGCACTACTGAGGGAATGTATACTGGGACAAAACAAATATTCAATGCTTTTCGGTTTTTAATGGTTGTCTAACTCAGGTCAGTTCATAATTTCAATAACATTCAGCTAACTTCCTAGAACTTCATAATGATGACAGAAAACATCCGTAAGGTTTCGAAATCAAAATAATAAAAAAAGGAATGTGTAGGTGATATTCACTTGTAAAACTCTTGTGACTGTTCTTTTGGAGTCTCAATATCTTAACATCTCATTGTATGTTAGGTACTTAATAATGTATTAGATGGACTGAAGATCGTATATTTGCTTGGCTTATCTATCCCTTTTCTTGAAGCAATTAACAGACTATCAAGCTGAATAAACTATATTTCAAGATTAACCACACATTTTGCATAGAAATGTTTGTCACTAACAAGTTTCATGTCGAAGAATCATCAATATTAAATTATACATTAAAGTTGTTTTTTGGTGAATTTTGAAGTTGATTATGCATACAGTTTTACAAATCTTAGAACTTTTACTTCAATGAAATTGCTACTTTTCAGAATGCTGCATTAATTGGTGAACATTTATGGAATGATACAACTTCTACGGAAACGTGCTATGTTGATGAATCAGAATGTACTGTAAGTTCAATGATAGTCTCATCGTTTTTTTAAATTTCATATTTATAAGTCATTGTATACATTTAAATGTTGATGAATTAACTGTGAAACGATGTCCAATTTACTCATCAAACTACTGATAGATGATTGATTAAGATCTTGAACCGATTGATGTTACACCACCATTGGAAACCTGGAAGTACTGAACGACCGTTTCGTCGTATTGTGGGACTGCTCAGCAGTGCGCATTCCCGATCCAGCTCGTGGGATTCGAACCCAGAGCGTTCCGTTTCGCGCGTGAATGCCTAACCTACTGAATCACTGAACCGGCCAGCAACCAATGGTGTTATTGTCTAACCTTAACCAATCCACGAAATTGTGCGATCATCTTCCGTTGTACTGAGGTAGATAACTGTCTCTACCCATCACGGATCAGCTCCACTGGTCACATCTTCTTACTAGGACTCCGAGAATTCCCTCACGAAGTTATTCAGTATTGAGCACATGGTAATTATCAGTATAGGGTTATATAAATGCAATGTAGCAGTTTGAGAATTATAACTGTTTCTCTGATTCAACTGGAATAATACATGTTACGGTATGAGTAATGTTCTCCGAATAATATTACAGTCCTATCTTCAATCAAAATTCTTTACGTTATTTGATTGTATTATTTTAAAAGAATTAAGAGGATTGTTCAATTCACTTTACGGAATGATTATTTTAGCTAGACAATCATTGAATATTGTGGAGCGATGAATAGATACTTCGTATTACTATGAAATTCTTAAGTAATCTAAGGGTAATACACATTATATGAGGCATAGAGATTTTATGTTTAACCTTCAGATAAAGGGGGGGAGGGTTCATAAGTATGCACATTTGACTCTTCATCTGTAGTCAATCTATGGTGTAAATTATATTTTTATTACATTTTGTTTTAGGTTTATAATAAGATAACGTATTATACGAAAGTCTTACTGAAAAAGCCGCATTAAAATGTTGATTTAATATTATGAAATGTTAGTTTAATTACCGTAGTTACGAAATATAATTAATGAAACAACTTTTAAATTTCTAAAAAATGTTAAAAGTTACTTAATTCAAAGTAATTAGAAACATACATTTTTGTTGTTGTGGAGTAACACAGAGTGACTATATAATTGACTACAGAAAGGAAAATATTTATTAAACAAACTTGGAATTTATATTTTACTGCGGTCTTTTAACGTCTTCGTATTTATTTCAGCTCAAGTATTTTAATATTTTAAAAACTCTAGTTAGACGTTAAATCCCGCCTCAATGGTCTAGAGGTTGAGTGGTCACACATAAAACTGAAGGTCCTAGGTTCGACTCTCGTGTGTGAGGTCATAGATGTACACTGCTGAGGAGTCCCATATTAGGGTGAAAAGGCTGTATAATGTTTCTATGTTTCGAATGGTAATCTGACTTAGATAAGTTCATGATATCAATGGGGGGTTTAGGGTTTCAGATTTTGAAAGCGTGTTAATTTGCTCGCTGTATACAATCCACAGGGATTGGATTAAGCACATAATGCTTTTTTTCGTACTACATTGGAGTGTCGGCTATTATGTTCAGCCTACATAACTTATTTTAGCTTCTGGCTAGGCCAAATTATCCATTCTTCTTGAGTTACATTCTTACCTTGTCAATTACTCACTTATCAACTCTGACTGTTTTTTAGGAGCGTATGTGTGCGTACTCTTCTTATCCTATTCATCACATATGTGTACCTTTTTTTGTGTGACTAAATATTGATTAACACTTGGTTAATTGGAGTTGGCTCACACTCCTCTCCTACGTGCCGTCTCGTTTCGCTTTCTTCTCTTCCTTTTCTACGTCTCTCTGATTATCTGTTCCGATCAACGATTGTACAATATATATATATATATATTAGAAATCCATCCTCATATTTGACTTATTTTAATTCCGTTATTCAATAACGCAAGTTAAGTCGATAATTATATATGAAGATAGGTGACATATGTATTTCGATAACATTCATACGATTTAATTGAAGTCAAATATCAGGCCACAAAAATACTATAATTTTTTTTCTAGGATTTTCACTTCGAACGTTTTGAACAGTGTAACATGGTATTTCTACCGCTTGTTATACTTGATATTTGAATTTCACGCAAAGCTGAGTTCTCGATTCTAGGTAGTTAATCGCTATCAGTCAGTCAGTCAGTCAGTAACAACGTGGAACTTCGTTCGTACGTACGTACATCAGTTCAAAATGTCATACCACATTAACACAGAGATTCACTTGTTGACTCAAATCCCATAGTGGTAGAGGTAATAAAAGTATAAACAGTAATCGGAAACATTAGCGTTTGAAAATGTTATTCAAAGAGTATAATCCAGTGAAATAAATTTGAAAAGCGAAAAAAGGAAAGTGACATGAGTGATTCAGAAGATTAGAATTAAGGAGAACACAAAGAGTGGATTCACCTGCTCCACTGGAAATTATTTTGAGCCATGTCATGTTAACCCCAATACTTACTTACTTACTTACTTACGCCTGTTACTCCCAATAGAGCATAGGCCGCTGACCAGCATTCTCCCCAATACCATAATTTTATTTGAAAAATCTATTTTTATGTACAGTATCAAAAAATTGGTTAGATAAATTTAACAATAATAATAGCCTTATCTTAATTTTAATAATAGAATAATCAGCCAACAGATGTGAAATAGATATGGAGGTTGTTCCATTGTTGTTTTTTCACGATCTACATCATTTACTAATCTTAATTAAGCATATGACCTTAATGTAGATTATTAAATTAACACAATTATTTATTTCATAATAAACAGTTTAAATATGTATATAATTTAAGCATTTACAAATGATGTAATATGTAAACTGAAAGTATGATCTATGCTACTTATATCTATCAACATAAGTAGTATGTAACATTAATAGGAAATGGAATGCTTGACAATAAAAGATTGGGAAGATTGAAGTAAAGAGAATAAGAATGTAAACAAAGAGTAATTGTAATGAGACCTGGAATAAAGATAAGATTAAGTTTGTAAGAGACAATTGATGGTTGATGTACAAATGAAGTATGTCAATGTATAATTTTCAATGTTGAATTGAAAAATAAATTGCTTATTCCCATCTAAGTATTAGTTCATTATAGAATTTTTTCAAAGCTTCAGATTCATTATAATTTGATTTAGTTACTAAGCTTAATTTATTCCATGTTACCATGTACATAGTAGAATTTAAATGGTATTTTTATAGATGATATAAATGTATACAGTTGAACAAGTGAGAAATAAGTAAAAAATACCCGACAATCTGATATGTACACTTTAGTAATTCTTCTTCTTTTTCTTCTTCATACAATGAAGATGATATATTATCATGGATTTATTTAGACCTACCTCCCTGCACCCATCCCATCCCCACCCCCTTCCAAAAAAATAACAACAACAACAACAACTAGTTTTGTAACCAGCTTTCATTCGCTATAATTGTCTGTTATCTTTTCAATGAATCAAAATATAATTTTAATATACGAATTATTATTATAGACATTTTATAGTCAAATCTTATTTATTTGTAATCATTTATTTATTGGCACTTAGTTCATTCATTCTTTTTTTTTAAAATTTATCTATATCTATCTATATCTCTCTATATATATATATCTACTTCCCATTCAATTCATCTTGCACCATCATCATCATATGCTGTAGTTTTGTATTAGATTTTGACATTTCAAGTCCATTTCTTCTATTTATTTATCTCTCACAGTTACTATATAACCCTTATGTATTGTGGAGTTTGTTTTTATAGTTCAGTTATACAATGATCTTAATTAGTTAAATCAAAAAAAGCATATAAATAGACAATAGGAATGTTATATCAATTAATATGAATCTTAATTAATCATTGAATAGTAACTAGTTTATTGTATTTGTCTAAACATTTAAGTGATACTTGAATTCTATCTGATAATTTACGATGTATCTTGTAGTGTTTTTGTTTTGAAAATGATAAAGAAGATTCTTGTTTCAGGTGGATACTTTTAGTTATGTTATTGTTCTTTAAAGTTGGTTAATTTGACTTTAAAGATTTGATTGCTGTTTTGTATGAATGTTGTAACGTGTGAGACTGCAGGATAGATGCGCAATGTATTTATCGATCGATTACAGTGGCAGTGGACACGTAAACACGCAGTGGACGACCTAATGTCACGATTGGCCCTACTTCGCTGTCTGTTCTAGCCAGTTGAGTCAAGAACACAAGTCACAGCCTCTGAGTTATGAATCATTGTATTTCAGACATACTCTATTTATATACCAAACAAACAAACCACATCGTACCATAAAATAGAAAACAACATTTACACAATATTTAACAAGTGAAATAAACATCGACCAATAGGAAATGTACATTTAAGGTCCAAGGCCACCATAGACTTAACACGATAATTATTAGTATATTTTTCCTCAGCATCCATAACAATGAATGGGTTGGTTGGTTAGTTGGATTGACTGAAGTTAGACATCAACACCATTGAATGCCAGCTCAATGGTCTAGAAGTTAAGCGTTCGAGCTCGAAACCGATAGGTCTTGGGTTCAAATTTTGCAAGGCGTGATCGTGGATGCGAACCGCTGAGGAGTCCCATACTAGGATGATTTTCCATGGTGTTCTGGCTTTAATTGAATCATAAATTCAAGTAATAAATTGCTAAAAATGATTTGTTTAATTTATCCATAATTGTTTGGTATTCTGAGTGATTTAATAATGTGTGAACATTAGTTAAATTTTAAGTGATAGAAATTAATCAACAGGAAGCTGTAGACCTATACTAAACGGATCTTCAGTCATAAAGAAACATATGTGTATTTTCAATTTTCATCACTTATTAAATGAGAAAATAATAAAACCTGATATCGTCGTGGCATTCTCGTGATATTCCAAAGGAAAAAACTCGAGTATCATTTTTCGATAATACATTATGTAAGATCACGGAGAACA